CAGTACACTAAAAAGATAAAGGTACATGTGCTGCCTGTTAGTTATGGGGAACCCATTATTTATTTATTTATTTATTTCAGGTACTTAACCAATTCAATACCGGGCAATTTTACACCTTCCTGCCCAGGCCAGTTTTCAGGTTTCAGCGCTCTCACACTTTGAATGACAATTGCGCGGTCATACAACATTTTACCCAAACTAAAAATTTATCATTTTCTTCACACAAATAGAGCTTTCTTTTGGTGGTATTTAATCACCGCTGGGGTTTTTATTTTTTGCTAAATTAACAAAAAAGACCAAAAATTTTGAAAAAAAAAGTTTTTCTTTGTTTCTGTTATAAAAGTTTGCAAATAAATAATTGTTCTTCATAAATTTAGGCCGAGATGTATTCTGCTACATGTCTTTGGTGAAAATAACCCAAATTAGGATGTATTTTTTAGTTTGTAGGAAAGTTATAGAGTTCACAAACTATGGTATAGATCTGAAAATTGATCAATCCTGAAGTACTGACAGCCAATCTAATTTCTTGAGGTCCAAGAATGTCAGAACAGTACAGATATCCCCCAAATGACCCCTTTTTGCAAAGTAGACAGTCCGACGTACTTCATAAGAGGCATGGCGAGTTTTTTGAAGTTGTATTTTTTTGTCATAATTTTTTGGAAAATGAAAAAATTAAAAAAATTAGTTTCACTATTTCTTTTTACATATTGTCACCAGTGTAGTACAGCGTCATCATATAACTGGCATGGCGGTGATCAGGGACACTGACTGGTGACAGTATGAAAAAATAAAATATATATATATATATATTTTTTTTTTATTATTTTTTTTATAAAATTTCTTTTCTTTTTAAAGATTTTTTTTTCATATTTCACTATGACCAAAGTAGTACAATGTTACCATAGTAACATTGTACTACTTTGGGGAAGTGATCAGAATATTTTTTTTGTTTTTACACAATTTGCTTATAGCAAAGAATTACTTTGCTATAAGCAAGCATTTACCTGAATAACATTGATTCATTCAGGGTTTTTTTTTTTTTTTTTTTTTTTTGTGCTTAGCTGTGATATGGCCACAGCTAATCACATGACATATGCATGTGATTAGCTGTGACCATTCACAGCTAGACACTAGTATACAATGGATGGCATGAATGAAGCCATCCATTGTATACAACTGTCATGTGACCTGCTGTGATTGGTCACAGCAGGTCACAGGGTACCGGCAACGGGGCCGTACTCAGATCTGTCATCGGCACGCGGTACACATACGTGTCCGAGGTACACGGCCAGTGACATATCGCGCCACTGCGCCGCTCTGCAGGAGCGCAATCTGCGCATGTGCGGGAGGACGCCATATGGTGTCCACCCGGAACGCTGATGACATTTGCCACCCGCCATTCGGCCATAGGGCGCGCGGCAAATGGTAAATAGCGCTGTCAATTTACGCAGCGCTTTATATATATATTGTACATTCACATCAGTCCCTGACCCTCAAGGGGCGTACAATCTAAGGTCCCTAACTCACATTCATATACAAGGGCCAATTTTAGACAGGATCCAATTAACCTACCAGCATGTCTTTGGAGTGTGGGAGGAAACCAGAGTACCCAGAGGAAACCCACGCAGGCAAAGGGAGAACATGCAAACTCCAGGCAGGAGGTGCCGTGGCTGGGATTCGAACCAAAGACCCTAGTACTGCCATTAGTGGCATTAGTTTAGTTAGTGGCTCAAGCAAGCAGATGTTCTGTTTGTTTTATGCTATTAGCTTACTGTACAAAGCCCTCCTGCATTGAAACTGTGTTTTTTACTGTCTTTCTGAAGAAAGGTACAGGAAAAACTTTCTTGGACTTCTCCCTGGGTGTCTCTGTATAGTATAAGGTTTTACAGCTGACTCTGATGCAAGAGGAGCAGCAGGAGCAGCATGCAGTCACTGGTTTATACTCACTAATGTTTTTGGATAATTGGATGCCTCCTTCCAATGTCTTCCATACACCTCTCTTGTGAAAACCAGATCCCCCAAACAAGAAGTCCCTCAGTCAGCACCAGCACAATAGTTCTACCATAGTTTTAAGTTTCAACCAGTGAATATATAGATTTTACTTTTTTTTTTTTTTTTTACAATATGACTGCCTATGTCCTTGACATAAATCATAATATCCATCAGATCTTCATAACTGACTGGTGATAAATAATGCATGCAGACTTAAGAACTTCAAACAATTTGCTAGTATCCAAGACCTCGGGTTTATGTGGATCCATACAACGTATGCATATGAATTTCTTGCCGATGATTAATTTGTGTTTAGTAACATCATAACCCAACTGCAGATGCAGAGACTGGATGACAATGTAAGCTCTTTAATCCCTTCTATCCCTAAAGACAGCAATCAACAAATATTTAGGCCCACACTAATCTTGTTGTCTCGACCCTGGATATACAAAATTATTTTACATTTATGTTCAAGGATTGGTGCTAAATTTATTACAGAGGACAAGAATAATTATGGTTGTTGTTTGATCAGTGGTGGGCCTTCTAATTATGAATGTAAGTTGAGACACATTCCAGACCAGAAATAAAGCTTAGAACGACATGGCTAATAATAGAATGAAAATGTAATTTTTCCAGTACACATAAGAGAAGAGCAAAAGAGTTAAAAAAGTGATTTTGTGATCTGTGTCCCTGTTGGGAAATGTCCACCTCATTTCTTTTCTAGTTAACTGCATAGAAAGTAAAGGGAAACATCTCCAATGTGGACAATGATAAAATCCAGATAGAGATACTGTAGCGATATAAGTCATGTTGGAACATACAAGGGTTGGCAACTCATGGATATGTAAAGACCTCCATGGGGCAATTTTACTAAAATCGAGGACATACAGAAAAAACAGGGGCGCCAGACAAAACGTTGAGAGATCCTTTTACCAACTTTTATGAAAGAATAGATTCTCACAAATGAGGTATCTAATTTATATATAATATCCTTCTTTAACATCGTCACCAAGGAAAATTACCAACAATGCATAAATGGGAACGAGACATTGGGAAACAATTCCAGATTCAACAATGGCAAACAGCAGGAAACTGGACTAGGAAACTACCAGATGCATTAACCATTGGGAATCAGCCCGATAGATATTACACAGATGGTACATAACTCCACCACATTTGGCAGCACGTTCATCCAACCGCTACTCCTCATTATGCTGGTGGAACTGTAACCAACAAGGATCCTTGTACCATATATGGTGGGAATGTCCACAAATTACTCCATTCTGGTCAGATATCTTCACGTTTCTAACATCAATTACAAACTCCTCTCCAATTCCTGATCCAGCCGTGGCAGTTTTGGGCATAGGAATAGACTCCTGGCCACCACAGTCCAGAACTGTACTAATGCATATTTTGATAGCAGCACGATTGAGTATTGCCAGGCTTTGGAAACAAACTACAACGCCATCCATTCACACAGTAACTGAAATCCTGAACAAATACATAGCCTTCGAAAAAACCTTTGCTCAAATACACAACTCATCTGCTAAATTCCGGAAACACTGGAACTTATGGCTCAAAGATCATCAATGTACCGTTACATAAGAAACTACAAGATGTACCAATCAAACACCACTAGAGATACAGCTACTCCACTCTATTATTATCACCCTATTATCCAAAAAAAAAGGAAATATGTAATAATTTCAAATCTCATTCTTTATTCTACTTCTCTCTAATCTCTAATCTCCACTTCTCACAAGTTTCCTTTCTTCTCTAAACTAATGACTTACTGAATATTTCAAACAAACAATGCATACTCATCAAAAAAATGAAATGTATTGATGACAGTAATGACTACAAAGTCACATTGTTTATAAGCTGAATTTTGTAAGATGTTGAATATACTCATACTCAATACTGTTAATTGTTGTAAACAATCAAATGACCAATAAAAAAAAAACAATAGTTATAAAAAAAAAAAAGTTGAGAGATCACAAAGAGCTTATTTTATTAGTAAATGTCAAAAGGACAAGCTAGCAAAAGTTAATGTTTTTCAAATACCAAACATGTCATACCATCTTGTGACAGACTGGGGTCAGGCTCGGAGACCAGAAGCTATAACAGTAGAGAGGCTCCCACTGACCAGCAGGGTAAATAGATAAGCAGATCATCCTGGCAGATGGTGCAGGCTCACTTAAGGTGTGGAGTCTAAGCATTAACCGGTATTCACCACAGCTCCTGATGGTGGAGATTGGTTTTGATGCGTGAGGTTGTGGTCCTCAGGATCACCCCACCAAGAGATGAACAAGCAGGGGTCCAGTAGCAGATATAGCAGATATGGATCAAGCAGAAGCCTAGTCGAGGAACAATCCAAAGGTTAGTAATGAGTGATAGTGAGATACGGATGGCTGCAGGAGAGACAATAGAAAAATACTGGCTGAAGAGAGCACAATAATCTGCCAAACAGGAAGTGCAAAGGCATGGCTAAATAGGAAGTTCATGGGAGGAGCAAAGGGTTTAAAGCTATTGGCTTTGCCAGCTTCCTGGTAGTATAGCTCAGGCTGGTTTGGATTCCTGTCCAAAGATTCCAACGCACTTTTCCCAAAGCACACGTTCCTGAAAAGTGGCTGTGAGTGTAAATGGGTGCTGCGGTGATCACCGGCTGGAACCGAAGATAACCAAAGTAAGAGAATGTCACCAGCACACCACGCATCTCCAAAATGGGTCCAAAGCTTATTCAGTGATCGCATAAATATAACAGAAGCAATGTTTCAGAGTCTCAAAGGAACCCTTCAACAGGCATGTGAAGGGTTCCTACAAGGCTGAGAAATGTTGCTTCTATTATAATGATGCAAGTGCTGAATAAAGCTTTGGTTCTCTTCTGGAGATCTGTGGTGTGCTGGTGACATTCTCTTGCTTGGATTCCTGTCCGAACATGCCTGCCTGAGCTCATCACTGGTCATGAGCATCCCTGTCCCTTTGTGTATATCAGCTGTGGGGTGGGACATTTCCTGCCTGTAGCTCATTGGTCCAGCAATGACAGCTAACTCTAGATTCAGGCCAAACCCAAGCTCTCCAATAATCATAAACTCTCAGCCTCCATAAAAGCCTTATGACCAGGGGCGGACTGACAACTCATGGGGCCCCCGGGCAATAGGGAATCATGGGGCCCCTGTGTCCTTGCCCAAACTGAAAAAAGCCTATGAAAAAGGTACCAGGGATATCTCATGGGGCCCCCTACTGACCCCGGGCCCTCGTGCAGTGCCCAAGTTTCCAAATGGTCAGTCCGCCCCTGCTTATGACATAGGTTTGCTTCATGACAGCTTCTTTAGAGAAGACTTTAAAAATGCAAGGTCTAGTTATGTTGCAATCCCTTATCCCTTGAATAAAAAACACAGTGAAAAATGTGAAAGAAAAATTGAAACAACTTAAGAAAAGATTAAAACAACCTTACACATTGGCTTTTAGTGCTTTCACATAAGCAAGGGTGACACCACTGGGTCTTATCGCAGGATCCTAAGAAAGCCAAGAATCCCAAATCCCTTGCACTAGACATTCGTATTGTTATGAATTGAAATTCGGACAAATTGTATCTGAATCTCGGAATCACAATAGTAACAAATTTTGATGAATCCAAAATAAATTACAAAGAAAACATTGAATTTATTCATATTCATTTGTTTTATTCGGTTGACATGGTGCAATAGTTTGGGCCTTTTGTTAATGTTTGAAGCATCCAAAATAATGTAACAACATAACAAATGGTCCGAGTTGATCCCTTTCATTTTTATTTTGCATTATCATTTTTAATTGTTACAAAAAATGCACTGCATATGAAATGGAAACATATCGCAGTAAGGTATAAAAGTGAAATAAGATGATGATTCCTACCTATTGTGTTTGGGTTTAATAGAGGTGGATCCATCAGAATCTCCAAACCATAACAAATTAACCCAAAATTAATTTCATTCTGTTCATTCTTTCGAATCTGTTTAGTTTTTATTTTGAATTAATATTTTTTATTATTATATTAAAAAAAAATTCTATTCCATTTCTCTCTGTGAGTTGGACTAGCAGAGATGATTCAGAGTACATAAGTAATCTCCGGAAATAACGATATAACACATTAACTGCTTCCCGACCACCATATAGCAGAACTACTGCTACAGGGCGGCAGGGCTGCGCAAAATCACACACACATATATATATATATATATATATATATATATATATATATGTGATCTTGTATTTCCAGGTACGGGGCGCACACATGCGGTGCCCTATCAGCGCCGCCGTTGGTGGCTACAGCTGTCGATCATCGGGTCCTGGCGACCGCCGAGGAACACTGACAGGAGAGAGGTCTGTATGTAAACAACACAGACTCTCCCCTGTCAGCACCAGCATGCTGATTTGTATTGCTCTGCATAGCAGAGCAATACAAAGCAGCATGCTTACATATTAAAAACACACACAAACACACACAGCACACAGTTAACCCTTTGATCGCCCCAGATGTTTACTCCTTCCACCTCAGTGCCATTAGTACAGTGTCAGTACTTTTTATTAGCACTGATCACTGTTTTAGTGTAACTGGGAAAGTCAGTGGCAGTCAGTTCCCACCCAGCGCCAGAATGCCCGCTGTAGTCCCGCTATAAGCCGCTGATTGACACCATTGCTAGTATATAAACTTTTTTTTAAAAATGCCAGTATAATTGCCACCATTTGTAGACGCTATAACTTTCACGTAAACCAATTAATTCACATGTATTGAGATTTACATTTTGGCCTAAATTTATGAGGAAATTTGATTTTTTTTTTTTTACTGGATATGTTTAATAGCAAAAAGTCAAAAATATTGATTTTTTTTCTTCAAAATTGTCAGTCTTTTTTTGTTTATAGCACAAATAATAAAAAACCCAGAGGCGATCATATACCACCGAAAGAAAGCTCCATTTGTGGAAAAAAAGGGCATATTATTATTATTATACAGGATTTATATAGCGCCAACAGTTTGCTCAGCGCTTTACAATATAACGGGAGACAATACAGCAACAATACAGTTCAATACAAGAGGGAAAGGAGGGCCCTGCTCTTTGGAGCTTACAATCTAGGACATAAATTTCATTTGGGTGCAGTGTTGCATGACCGCGCAATTATCAGCTAAAGTAACGCAGTGCCGTATCGCAAACAATGACCTGGTCAGGAAAAGAGGTAAATCCTCAGGAGGGCAAATGGTTAAAATGAATATAGCCAATCTTCCAAAATATACTCAATGATTTTCGAAAACGAAGCATTCCAACATAGCACATACAACAAAACAAAATGATTTACTTAACGAATAAATCCAAAACGAAACAAAACAACATTGTTTTCATCATGCACATCTTTACCATGCACAATGCTGGAGTGTCTTGTGCTATTTGGGATCCTAAACATCACTGGGGCATGGGGCAGCACAGTGGCTTAGTGGTTAGCACTTCCGCCTGGCAGCACTAGGGTCATTGGTTTGAATCCCAGCCACAGCACCACCTGCCTAGGTTTTTGCATGTTTGCCCTGTCCCTGAATGGGTTTCCTCCGTGCATGGGTTTCCTCCCACACTCCAAAGACATGCTGGGAGGTGAATTGGCTCCTGTCTAAATTGGCCCTAGTATGTGTATGTATGAATGTAAGTTAGAGACCTTAGATTGTACACCCCTTGAGGGTTAGGGACTGATGTGAATGTACAATATATAGTATATATATATAAAGCCCAGCATAAATTGACAGCACTATATAAATACCTGAAATAAAAAATTAAATAAAAAAATCTCTGGCACCTACAGGAATCATCCAGCCAGGGGCAGACTGACAACTCATGGGGCCCCCAGGCAATAGGGGATCATGGGGCCCCTGTGTCCTTGCCCCACACTCAAAAAAGCCTATAAAAAAGGTACCAGGGGCATTTCATGGGGCCCCCCTACTGACCCTGGGCCCTCAGGCAGTGCCCAGTGCTCGAATAGTCAGTCCGCCCCTGCATTCAGATAAGTATTTTAGACTTTGATCATGCAGTGTTTTAGATTTTTATTATAAAGCTTTTCGATGTGCGTTTTTTTTCTTCGGGGCTGTAACATAATGCCCGGTCTTCTTTAATTAATTCCAGCCATCCTGAGGCTTGCACAGGACAATCCCATTACTCTTTTTTTGCCCTAAAAAACTCTGCGTGGAATGTCAGAATTAGTGTCAGCACTATTCAAAGGTCAAAGACACAAGTGGTTTTACATGTTGATTCTTTTTAGAGAAGAGTCTCCCACTGGCAAAGCCAATCTGACTGTTGTGACAAGGAGGGGGTGCTTTATACTAAGGCTTCAATCACGTTTGCACACTAAAGAGCCCACCCTGTAATTGTGCTACCAAAAAAAAAAAAGAGAAAGAGACACATATTCTTTCTCCTGAATAAGCCTCTAAAAATCTCCGAAATTATTGGTTTCGAATTTCAAATTGAAAGCCTTAATTTTATTGAGCAAGCATATGTAATTTAGTGTAAAATGCAGTGAATGATGTCTTCCAAAAAGTAACCTGACACTAACATCATTCTCAATATGTTAAACGCATGCAGGCTTTTCTTATTATTTCTCCAGAAAAAGCCACAGAAACAGATTTTTAAACAGGGCCAGAGAATGCTTGTAAAGAAAAAAATTATAGCTCAGAGCAGTTTGATGTGTAGTTGGAGTGAATTTTGCATTTAAAGCACATTTAACCCCCCCAAAAAAGGAATATATTGCATTTTAAAAGTCTTTAAAGCTGAACTCCAGGCATAAAAAAAAAAAAAAAAAAAACATTTTCACTGAAATGTATTTCTCCATGGACACAAAGAATATTAAATCCGCTTTATGTGTACCAAATGTTTTGCAAATCCAGGTGTCTTGTAGACTCACCCACTACAGGCCGCCAGCAGAAAACTACAGGAGGGGGCGGAGACAAGACCAGTCACTCTGCACAAAGAGAGGGACCAGCGGTGACTAGTCTTGATAACAGGAAGCTCCTGAACAGATATGAAGTTTCACACTGGATTATTGTACAGATCTGCAAGAAATACACAAAGCACAAAAAGATTCAAGGAAGAATACACATGCCTCTTGTATTTAGCTAATATTTGCTTATCCTAGAATTAGTCTTTACCACGTCAAGTCCGGACACTTTCACCTCCTTCCTGTCTGGACACTTTCACCCCCGTCCTGTCCGGACCCCCTTCTTATCTGGAAACTTTCACCCTCCGTCCTGTCCAGACACTTTCACCCACTTCCTGTCCGGACACTTTCACCGCCTTCCTGTCCGGACACTTTCACCCACTTCTTGTCTGGAAACTTTCACCCCCCGTCCTGTCCAGACACTTTCACCCCCTTTCTGTCTGGACACTTTCACCTCCCGTCCTGTCCAGACACTTTCACCCCCTTCCTGTCTGGACACTTTCACCCCCGTCCTGTCCGGACACTTTCACCCCCTTCCTGTCTGGACACTTTCACCTCCTGTCCTGTCCAGACACTTTCACCCCCTTCCTGTCTGGACACTTTCACCCCCGTCCTGTCTGGACACTTTCACCCCCTTCCTGTCTGGACATTTTCACCCCCGTCCTGTCCGAACACCTTCACCCCCTTCCTGTCTGGACACCTTCACCCCCTTCCTGTCTGGACACTTTCACCCCCGTCCTGTCTGGACACTTTCACCCCCGTCCTGTCGGACATTTTGTCCTGTCCGGACACCTTCACCCCCTTCCTGTCTGGACACTTTCACCCCCTTCCTGTCTGGACACCTTCACCCCCTTCCTGTCTGGACACTTTCACCCCCGTCCTGTCTGGACACTTTCACCCCCGTCCTGTCCGGACACTTTCACCCCCGTCCTGTCCGGACACTTTCACCCCCTTCCTGTCTGGACACTTTCACCCCCTTCCTGTCTGGACACTTTCACCCCTTCCTGTCTGGACACTTTCACCCCCGTCCTGTCCGGACACCTTCACCCCCTTCCTGTCCGGACACCTTCACCCCCTTGCTGTCCGGACACTTTCATCCCCTTCCTGTCCGGACACTTTCACCCCGTCCTGTCCGAACACTTTCACCCCGTCCTGTCCAGACACTTTCACCCCCTACTTGTCTGGAAACTTTCACCCTCCGTCCTGTCCGGACACCTTCACCCCCCTTGCTGTCCGGACACTTTCATCCCCTTCCTGTCCGGACACTTTCACCCCTTCCTGTCCGGACACTTTCACCCCCTTCCTGTCCAGACACTTTCACCCCCTTCCTGTCTGGACACTTTCACTTCC